CCAGTAAATAGTGTATATATGCTACACCTGATTGGATTTTTTGGTGGTGGACATACACTGTATTGCTGAATCTAAAGTTTAGATTTATTCAATTTAGCAAATTCTTAGTTGCTGATGTGGGGTTATGTTGTCACTAAATTTTTCTTGTTACAGTTGAGTCAGACAGTAATGGATTGTATAACAACAAGGCTAAGTACAACAAGTTAATTGGAAAAGCCAAAGAACTAGGCAGGCAGGGACAGCTTGAGCAAGCACTTGTATTATTTGAGAAAGCTTACAAAATACATCAGAGTGAGAAGCTTGGAAGAAAAATTGAAAAGCTCAAGGTACCTGTAATTATTGTTTAGAGCCATTGGTCAGCAGTGGTGTTTCTGATCTGGGGGGGACCTGCCACCTTATTTTGAGTCCAAACTGAGGCCTGCAGGGTCGAGAAAATTAAATTCCAGAGGGGACCTTCTCTTGTGTCTGAGTTTGCATGAGGCAACCCCCCTCTCAAAATAGATCCAACACTCAGGAGCTTCTCTATGGGTACCCACAGCTGTGGATGTCCTTTTCTTTGCACATATACCATTAAGTTGTCGGTTTTGTCAAGAAAATTGTTGTATATCAAGAATTGTTTTGTGTAGAATGCTACTAACGAGCTCTAACAACAGAAATGATAAAATAATAAAAAGGAAATAGCATCTTTGCTGTCATCACAAGACTAATGTGGTCAAACATGAATGGAAGGGCAATGCTATCATTGCCTTAATCTCGTAGATTGTCGTTTCATCAGCAGAGATTGTCACAACTTTGATTTTGTCGGAAATACCCATATAGAATCTCAATCAGTACTATCATTATCTTTTGAGGTAGGGATAAGATTTCTTGTCAAACTTGTACACTCAGGCGTCTAATAACATTCACAATCATAAGTTTGAATTTTGCTGCTGTTTTTAGATAAATAAAACATGTAATGTTGTCACATTGTATCTGAATTTCAGGAAGCAATAGAAAAGTACAAAGAAGTGGAAGAGGAGGAAGGTGATGAAGAGGAAGATGACAACGGCATGCGTGAAGTTGGAGATGGCTTCTTTCTACCTACAGAAATTCACCAGAAATTATACCCATATCAATTACAGGGCATACTGTGGTTCTGGCGCCTGCATCAGCAGGGGAAGGGAGGGATTCTTGGTGATGACATGGGGTAGGTGTCTACCTTCTCAAGCCTGATAGTAAAGGCTGATTTGTGTATGTGCATTATAATGAATTTGAGTGGCGACCTTTGTCAAGTGGTCTGTTAATCCATTACAGATTGTCTGTTTATTACATGCCAGGTATGCTACAATCTTGGACAAAACTGTTGAGAAAATTGTATACTTGGAAAGCATTTTTCTAAACATCGTAGCTTTACCGGTTCTTCCCTCTCCCCCTTCCCCTGAAAGCATATTCAAAAGAAAGCCTGATCCTTGGACGTTTGTGGAAAGCAACATTGAATTGGGGGAAGGGGTTTTCTTTTCGAAATAGTTTTGTTGCGTAGGAAAGTGGACATGATGGGTAAAACTTTCTCAAGTGGTTTTGTCCGGGATTGTAGCTTACAAGCTCAAAAACCATGTTAAAATGACACTGTAAGATCAAAGAGATGAAAAACTTAATACTGGTACAATTAAAGCAATAGTAGAGATCTTAACCTCTCTAACACTAATTGGCTATTGTACAAGACATCCCAAGAAATCAACCAACATTTCACAACTCACCAATGGTTTCCCTGCGAAAATAGCTCCTGAGGAATGAGTGCAGAAATTCAATACTGTTGACTTTTCACTACCCTGATCTGGGTACTGACTCTCCTATTGGTTGAAAATTTCCTTCAATTTCGCAGATGTCATGTGGGGAAACTGTTTGTGGAATCACCTGTAGCCATGGCATTTTTGCAGACCAGACAATTTATTTTTACCAGTAGATCTATTTTCCCACAAATTTTGAATATCAAAGAAGTCTTACAAATTAATCAGTCATCAAAACCACAGACTAGAAAATAGTTTTTCTGGTGTTTGATAGCATCTAGTTCTCCTTTTTGTAATAGTCGTACTATTCTTTTTTTCAAAGTTAGCAAACTTTATTACAAAAGAAAAAACAGGCAACATGCATTATAACAGTGCTTACGTGAATGAAATATACAAACAAACAAAAAAACAAAAAAATACATGTATATGTACCATTTGCTATAATACTGTTTACAATTTCAAAAAACTAAGTTATTGGTCTACAATAATTGTTGCACTATGGATGTGCAAGCATAGAGAACAGAACTTCCATTTTCACAGGAAAAAGTGCTGAAAAATGGTGCTAAAAATAACTTGATCTGTGAAAACACTGTTGCAAAGCCTAAGTATGCAAGGGAGTAGCACTCCCCGGGTTATGGGCTCCTAGCATCACGTCACAAAATGTCAGCTGTTTCCTCAGACTATGAAACATACTCTGACAGTACATCTACCTAACGTTGTTTGCAGATTAGGAAAGACTGTTCAGGTCATATCATTCCTAGCAGGCATGTTTGATGCAGGATTCATCAAATCAGCTCTGATTGTGATGCCAGTGTCACTATTGTCAAATTGGGAGAAAGAGTTTAATAAATGGTAAGACATTGACAGAGCAATGTACACCTCCCCCCCCCCCCCCCATGCCACCATTTCTTTGTCTTTCCCTCCTGTTAATGACTGGGAATACATGTATCCCCTGGTTATACACCTGTAGGTAATTATTACTAATAGATACTGTAAATCCTCTATTGAGCCCCCCGGGGGCTTATTTATTTCAAGCCCATTTGAGCATGGAGGGGGGCTAGCCTGCAGACACAGACGTATTTCCGGTTGTCGCTTCTCTCCACCCGTGGAGCGTAGAGAAGCGATGACTGGAAATACGTCTGTGTCCGCAGGCTAAGGGGGAAGGGGCTTAATAGACATGGGGTCCTATTTACTTTAGAAAAGATGGTGGTATTAGTTCTCCTTAAAGAGCTAGAATTCAAAGTGGAAAAGCTCAAGTACAAGAAGGTTGGAGGTCATGCAGCCGAGAATCAGAATCAAATCTGAACTTCCAATTGGTAAATAAACCATCCCAGATCAGTTCACACTAAGTTTTATAATCGTGATTGATTAATGCAGTCTATCATTTATTAGTGAAGAATAACTAGGGGAGGGGAGGGGAGGGGAGGGGGGTTAATGGAGTGGGGGGCTTATTAATTATCTTCCCCGTGAAAAGGGAGGGGGGCTTATTAGAGGGAGGGGGCTTATTTGAGAGGGAGGGCTTAATAGAGGAATTACGATATGCATTATTGACCAAGCGTTAGGTCAAGACGGCTGGATTTTGGCCAAGTTCTTTTGTGTGTATTTATGGACTGAGATGAAGTCAAGGTCAATAATAAAACAAAAAAGAACAAGGGTGATATAAAGCCATCTTGACTGAACAAGCTTGGTCAATAAAGGATTTATTTTATGACCACAGAGAGAAAATTTTCCTTGCGGGACGAACGCGGGAAATCCCGAGCGACTTATCTTAACCGCTCGCAGATTCAGCCATATAAGGTTGTGATAAGCCCTCCCTCACTCTGATATAAGCTCCTCAGAAATAAGCCCACCAAAAGTCCTTTACCACTTTGTATAAGCCCAGGGTTTATGGCTGGGATTTTATGTATATGTAGAGGTTACAATCCTTTAATTTTCAGGGCTCAAAATTGCGACTCACTGACTAGTCGCCAGTACGACTAAAAATTGAGCACTGGCATCTGCTCTTTTAAGACCTGGTCACCAATTGTCGATTAACCTCATGTTTCGATAAGATACCCCCTTGACCCGAATCAGTCTCTATGAATCATAATACAATATGTAGTAAATGCGTTTCCTAGCGTAAAACAAAGTATTGAGTACTCTGTGTTGTCTTGCAACTCAAACACTGCGCAAACGAATTACTGTTTAGTAAATGAAATGAAGCAAAGATAAAACAAGACTAACAACGTATGAATCTAGACTACCATTGTCACGTCAATACAGAGAAATCAAAGGAAGACTATACAAATATCGTGCAAATGACGAACTGGTGTACTAAGAAACAGAGCAATATCTATAGCCTTACATTGTATGAAATAAATAAACAACATATTAGGATAAATCAAGACTAACACGGTCACACCGTACGAATGAACTGAAGTACGGGGAAACTTAAAAAGAGGAAGGAACTGACCTAAAGGGAAACGAAAAAGGAATGTAAGAAGACATACAAGACGATTAAACATTGTTAAAGGAGCACACTGACAGACAGTGAAACGTAGACGACAAGACTAACATCGTGCGAACATTCTGACGTACACTGAATGAAGAAATATTCAGAAGAAGACAAGGATAACGTACAAACGAACCTACAGGTAAATATAAAAAAAGCGAAAAGCAACATCGTACGAAGGTAACTCATTGAAGAAATTGATCGACACATCGAATATCATAGTTTACGATATGGCGAAACTGTGAAACTTGATTGTAGGGATATTGTATGGAGACCTTTCCTTGGAGTACGAGTATTTCTGAATAAAACGTGGGAACTGTTATAAATTCTTTCTCAGATTTTACAAGGTCTTCAAGAAACGAATAAAATATGGAGCTCGTCAGTGTACTAGGATTTTCTTCTGGTATAACAACCATACCACTTTGAAGTCAAACTGGTACTTTACAATTTTGATTTGTCCACCAAGTATTTTCCTCTTGTCGCCAGCTGACGCCCAAATGAATGAGGTCAATTTTGAGCCCTGGACTTTTCTCAAAATGATAAGTTACATGCATGGATCTTCACTTCAAATACGGTGAATTCTTGACAACCTCATACAATCTCATTAAGAAGAGAAACAATTTGGCTTCCCAGTGATTGTATTTTTGATATCCTCAGGGCCCCTGGAATTCGTGTTAAACTTTTTCATGGATCAAACAAGAATGAGAGGGAAAGAAACCTTCATAAAGTACAGCGAAGAACGGGTGTGTGCCTGACAACATATGGTAAGATGATCAAGTTTTTTATCTGTCCTCATACAGATAATATGTTTTTCCCTTGATAACTTACAAAGTTAAATGTCTTTGTATGTGTATGTTTCTCTTATTATCATCTGTAGGGCTAATTCAAACAAGCTACGGGGCTCTAGCAAGAACATCGTCTGGAAACACGTTTACATGGGTGAGTCATATGGACTACTAAAGTTTTCTTTCCTTTCTATTTTAGGGATAAAAGCAGCTATTGCATCATAATCTTCATCATCATCATTATCACATAATTTATGTCATAATTATCTTCATCACATTGTCATCGTCATCATTGTCTTCATTATCATCATCACATCATCAGTGTCATTATCTTCGTCCTCATCATCATCATCAGTCCTTTTTTTTTTCTCAAACATACATGTAGGTCCCAATGCTACTAACGCTCACTATCTGACTCATCATTGTCTTCAGTTCCTACTACTGTAGACAGACAACTAAAAGAATTTACAAGGAATGATTATAGATAAACAGTACATACAGTATTCGGACACCCAAAATAACTGAAAAGCTAAACTAGTTGGGTGACCGTAATTATAATAATTAAAAATGTGAAAAGTCAGGAAAGAGGCACAACAAATACATTTCAATGCTATTGTGAGTAGTGACTTTTACATGTACCAACATAAGGCCTATTTCCGTATTTTCTAGCATCCCTATGCACCTGACATCCCTCTGCCCGATCTTCACACACACTTTTGGCGACATTGGTTATATTTGTTCTTCAAAGCTAGAACTGTTGTTTGTTTATTCTGTCATTTTCAAGGACTATATCATTTTGGACGAAGGCCACAAGATTAAAAATCCGTCCATGAAAACTAGCAAAAACGTCCGTGAAGTTCCTGCAAAGAATCACTTTATCTTAACAGGCACACCAGTGCAAAACAATCTCAGGGTAAGTAGCCTGTGTGTGATAGTGAGATGAAGGGGTGGGGAGGGTAGGAAAATAAGTAAACGGTGACCACAACAGTGTCTGATATGTTTAAACCATGTTTTTATGAGGAACAACCGAGACGACATCGAAATGACGTGGCAATATGGCAGGTACCACGGGTTACAAACTTGAATGAAAGCACTTTTACGTACGAGGCATCATGTAAGACACTGAATGACTGTATGATCTGCTGTGGGCCATTTTCTCGACTCCAAGTACCAGAATTCATTTCGTGTTTGCTTTTTAAATTTCATTTTGCGATTGTCCAATTAAAATGCTTCTAGAAACCGTATGGTTGATAAGAAGAACTGGTTAGGACCAGTAATTCAAGCTTTGTTTGTTGCCGTCGTTGAACCTCTGTGACTCCCAACGTGAGACAAGCGTGGTGTTTAGGGAGGAGCACTTTCCCTCCCCCTTTTCTTCCCCCTTCTTTCTGTCAGTCTGCTCGCACTTTTTTACCTTTTTCTACGTGCCCTGTTCCCCCTCCATATAGGTAACATGGAAACGTATTGTCAATCTCATCACAACGTCTTCTTCTTTATCACCAGGAAATGTGGGCGCTGTTTGACTTTGCGTGTGAAGGAAAACTGCTTGGCTCCTCACGAACATTCAAACAAGAATACGAAAACCCGATTGTCAGGGTGAGAACATGTCTGTTTTACTTTGCAGTGAGATTTCTAAAAGAGCAACTCCAGTCGGAAAAGTTCGTAAGATCGTCGGGATCGAGCGTTTACCGGTACATGTACGTTTACCGGTATATGTACTGAGGGGGCAGACGTCGGCGTGACAATCTTACGCAAAAAAAGGGGGACTGTGAACAGTCTATGACAAACGATGTTTGCGGAATGTAATTTGACCATCCAGGGTATAATTGCTGCGTTAAAAATGATAAATTTGTCGCCAAGGGACTCTAAAAAAAACTTGGTTCTGTTCACTTTTGTTTCTTTGTAATGGTATACATTGTACAGTCAACTCTCCTAAAAGCCAGGACACATCTTTGAGGCTGACATGCCCAAAAAACGGACACCTACAGTCGGTCCCTACCTATTGACCTTTTGAGGTTCAGAATCCCATGACGATTGGTCAGTGTTGTGTCTAATTGCACCTTGGGACGGTTTGGGGATGCTATCACTTCTTTCATTGGCTGCTACGAAGTTGCGCCGGACACTGGGTCAAAAGGATCCCATAGTTCATTTGGACACAACGCTGTCCTAGTCCGCCGAGCCTAATGGGAATATGAACACCTCACAATGACAGACACTTAGTACTCGCAGGAGCCGATATAGTAATCGGCTCCTGGTACTCGTCGTTGCCACTCTTCAATAGAGAGCTTTAGATTCTAAGACGAGTACGACTACGAGTACGCGATTTTCTCAAAACTAAGTTGTGCGCGCGCGTGAACCAGGGTCAGTTTGGCGGGAAAACGTGATAGTCGTCGCCATTCTATTACGAGTTTTAGCTAGAATGTCGTGTTAGTGGACACAAGTCATAGGGTGTTACAGGTTTTATTATTTTGCGGCTGGGAGATAACACTGCTATTTTTTTTGGTGAAAAAGATATACAATGAAGCTGTCCGGGGTGTCTATTATTTGAGAATACGCGAAAAAACTTTAAGTTAAATCTCGTACTCGTAGTCGTTGTCGTCCTAGAATCTAAAGGTCTCTAATATATTCTTGGATTCTTTATAAGACGTACACTTCTTGTTTAGTGGCGGTCCCTAACAGCGTCCACCGTCTGGAGTTTACTGTATATACATTAAAAAAATTGTCTACCTCTAACATTTAACAAAGAATTTTTTAAGACAACAACGCGACAATCTGGCTTACACTCTTTGATATTCCTGGTTTTCTAAAAACAAGTTAAGTGATGTGGGATAAGTTGTCAAAAGATTCATTGTAACCTATTTGGTCGTAGGCAAGGGAAAGAGACGCCAGTGCATACGAAAAACGCATTGGAATGGAGATGTCAGAAAGCCTACGTAAGCTCATAGAGCCTCATTTTTTGAGAAGAACGAAAGCTATGGTGTTGGAAAAGAAGAAAAAGGCTTCTGATGATGTTGATGGCTCTGAAGAAAAAGAGAATCGGCGAGAAGGCGGTGCTAGGTACATGAATTCTCGTTGTTTGTGTTTGTACGTGGGTTCATTCTGATTTAAGAAAGGGCCCCTCATTACGTTCACTCGGCTGTAACAATTGGTAAATTTGCTAATAATTGACGTAGATATCATTTAGTGCAAAGGTTGATCAAGTTGATTGACCTGGGAATATATCGTGTCCGCACTAATTCTTTCATTTATGGCCAGAAACGATATTTATTCGTTTATGAACTTGTTGGCTCTTGGAGAAGTTTTTAAATTTCTAATCGCTACATCGCTCTCGAAGTGTGGACGGGATGGAAGCCGTAAAGACATACGTTGGGCCACAATTTTACTTTGCTTTTGCGAATTTTGCAATTGCTTATCCCCTACTTATCATTCCTGTTTCCTTTCCTTTCAGAATGCCACAATCGCTAACGCGAAAGAACGACCTAATTATCTGGCTCCACATGTCTGATACCCAGCAGAAAATATACAAGGACTTTCTAGGTCTTGAAAGAGTGAAAGAGGTATGTTTTTAAACAATACCAGCACACTTCCTTTTAATACAACTGATAATTATTCCTCACAGGGATATGATACAGTAAGTCAGACTATATTTCCTTTCGAGTGAGCAATTCGACCTTTTTAAACTCCAAGTTTTTAGTCAATTCTAATTCCCGCTTGCGCGTTTTTTGCGGGTAAAACGCTCCAATCACATCAGTCTTCAACCCTTGACGATCACTTAAGGCTGGCTGTCACTAGCGACGGTCACTAGTGACAACCGGCCTTAAGTGACAGCCGACGGAGTGAGTCGGAGTCGTAAAAGGAGTCGTTAGAACACTTATGACCTAATAATGCAAATAGAAAGTCAAAGTTGTAAACGGAGTCATACGATTGAATCGGAGTCGAAAGGACGTTTCCATTTTCTTCCGACTGCGTTTATAACCCCTTTGATTACGAGCCAGTGAGTCGGTATCCTGTGTACAGCCGCTCCCTCCCTTTGTTGTAGGGGAGGAAGCCTGTACACAGGTTAGGACTTGGTTGAGAAGGGGAAGGATAAGCCAATCACAATGCTCGTTCCCACGCTTTGTGATTGGTTTAGTTTTTCTGCTACTGCTGCGACTCCGACAAACTACTTTTCACTACCGTCTCCCCTGCCCCCCCGAAAACAGGTGTTAGCAATGATTGTCGTGGTAGTGTGTGTGTGTTGAGGGGAGGGGGTCCGCCCCGTTTGACAGTTGAGATGGCCCCCTCACAATAATTTTTCCTCCGTTCTCTTTTCACTCTTTCAGTTGTTGATGAGTACCCGTTCACCATTAGCTGAATTGAATGTTTTAAAGAAGATTTGTGATCATCCCCGCCTGCTTTCCACTCTTGCCTGTGAGCAGCTGGGATTGGATGAAGAGGACAGGTTTGTTACGGCATTTCAGCCCCTGAATCGAAATCCATTAATGAAAAAAAGATCAAACTTTATTTTTTTAACCTGTGAGAAACAAATGCAGGAGCGTAGCTAGAAATATTCCAGACGTACGCACAGTTTTCCATATCAGCCATACATGGTCTCCCAAATCGTATTCACGCCGGTGATTTTGTTTTGAAAACATTATCTGAAAACAATAAAAACGGAGTTACATTCGCCACAGTAGAAACGAGGAAAGTGGGCCGAGTTAACTTTCGCAAAGACTTCTGGGACTGTTGCTTAGGACAGGGAAAAAAATTGTCCAATAGCAGCAAATAACTGAGCGGCGCGTCCCCAGTAACGATCCCAGAAACAATTGCGGGCGCGTTTCTGCTCCAGTTCCCCTCTCGTTTCTAAAGTGGTGAACGAATTGACAGTTACAGTCAAGTCCATTTATAGCGGACACTGTAGGGACCTCGAGTTAGTGTCCTCATTAGCGAGAGTCCGTATTTGCGGGAGTTTATTTCAGTCAAGCGTCTGTAGATGATTTTTTCCTGGGATTTAGCTTCTGTCCGTATTATCAGGGTGTCCGTTATAGCGAGGTGTCCGCAAGGAGACAGTTGACTGTAGACCGTTTTTCACCTTTCCCTTATTTACCGTTATGTTCCTTTGCCTATACTTCGACATTTTGGTAGGTACGCACATGCGTATTGGTATACAGATAGCCACTTCCCTCAAAGAGCATCATTTAACAGTTCTACCCGAGAGGTTTCGTTTGAATGGTACATTCAGAATCAAAAGTTAAAACTACTTAACTTCGTAGTTGACTGTACGATTAAAGAGGTCAGGAGTCGCTGGCTCCTAACCCCTACGAACCGTCGGAGGACCGTCCGAACGAATGTGTTTGCTATGTATAAGAGGGCAAGGGACGGGGTGAGACCCGGAAATGAATTCGGGCTGCCACCCAAACTCTAGTCCTCAAGCCCTAGACGTGTGAAAATAAGCAAATGTCGTAATACCATCGAGGTTCGCGTCAGTGACCCAAACTCTGCCTGATCATTGCTCCTACTCCTAAAAGAAAAGCGTTGAGTGAGTTTGTTTAATGTTAGTTGATTCACTGGACAACGAGAAACATAATCTAAAGAAAGAAATCTTTGTCTCCCTTCTGCTGTGCAAATGTTCTCTGAGTATTTCGTATTTGTTTTGTTCATTTAGGCTCGTTGAGCTGGACTCAGCCGCTGACCAAGATGGACCATCATTTGCCACCCAGCCAAAAGGCTTGGGTCCTTCTGACAGGGTGCTCACACAGGAATCAGGGAAAATGGTCTTCCTGGTTTCCCTGTTGAATAATCTCAAGTCTGAAGGCCACAGGTGCCTGGTGTTCAGTCAGTCGCGAAAGATGTTGGACATTATTCAGCGAGTTATCACTCATGGGGTATGAACGTTATCCTTTTTGACACCACAGTAAAATACTACTGCGTAAAATTTGTTTATGAAGAGTCACTCTTCCACACTTCTTTAGCACCTCTATAGACTGGGAAGTTTATTTAGAAGAAGAACTTAGAACCACCATGGATGGCATAATGACCCTCCCAACGTAAAGTGATAGTTGCTTTTTGGGATTTGCCAACAGAAAGTAATGGTCAGTAGCTTCCATTTGCGCGTTGTAGGATTCCACACCACACACGGACTTAAAGTTGCGTACCAGCGTTACGGCAGGGGAGGTTTGAGGGGGCGAAAATGCAAGAGAGAAAAAGTGACAGAAGCAGTACTTCGCGTTTTCCGCCCTCTCCCGCTCTCGTTCTCGCTCTTCCAAATCCTATTATGTAGGCTAAGAGTGCGGAAAAGGCACAAAAACAAGTAAAGTTCTTTTTAGATGCTTTTACTTGAAGTAGATGCTAAGGTATTTACTCACAGCCTCAAACCATAGATCCTACAAAAGATTATAGGAAGAGACTCCGCCCTGAGGTCCAACCTCTTTCCCTTAATGATTGATTTCCATACCCTTTCATATACTTCCTTACCCTCTGATATACCTGAAGCCTGAAAAAGGTACCCCTTTCGGGCGGAGCCTCCCCGTATAGGTCGTTATAGGGTGTAACCCCCGAACTTTACGCCCATTTAGAGCCGGTTCTAACAGTGCCCGCCTTAGGGCCTGTTTTACATGGAGGTGGGGGACCCCAGATAGGTGAGGTAACATGTGGTGTGTCATCCCACCTATCATGTAAACGTGATCTAATTAAAATGACATTATATGGACGGGCGGGTTACCCCACCTAAGCGGGTTACCTCACCTGCCTGGACTCCCCTGCCTCCATGTAAGCAGGCCCTTAGACTGAGTTGTCCGAAACAGTTAACAGGTGTCTTAGAACTACGAATTATTTTTCTTGGTAGGGTCACAAAGTTCTTCGTATCGACGGGACAGTATCAAAGACTGCTGAGCGTCAGCATTTGATCAACACCTTTCAAACTGACCCATCTTACTCTTGTTTCCTTCTCACCACGCAGGTTTGTATCCCACACACAAAAAAGCAATATAAATTTATATTTTATCAGTGCCACAAAGTTCGTACGAGTCATGGAATTTAAAAATTTCATTTTTAAGGCTTGGAAAGTTATGGAATTTAATTGTCGGTCCTTGAAAGTCATGGAAAATTAAAGTTTTGTTTGGTAGATTAGATACTGCGGATGGCAAAGCAACAGGATAATGTAAGATAAAGAGGGGTAATTAAACAGCGCGAATGGCACGCATTTTGGTGGATACCAGAGTTTGTTTCTGTTGAACTGTTTAAGGTCAAAAAATATGCTAAAACAAGTAAAGTGTTGAACGTTTTCGAAAATTACAGCTGAACTTAAGGTCATAGAAAACTAGAAAAGGTCGTATTGGGGGCAAGGGAGCAGGAATAGGAATCAAGGAGAGAGGAAAAGTAAGGGCCTTTCTTCTCCGACCGTTTTGCCCAATTCGTTGACTGTAGATCCAACTTAGCTCTCGTCCTCGTTTCGTTTTATATCTGATTTTCCTTGTCCGTAAGTAATAACACCAAGAGTGTTGTTGACTACGAGGCAATTGTAAAACAGTAGCCAAAATAGAACCAGCAAATAGCGGATACAGGTAGACCATTACCTTAAATTCTCGATTTTGTCTCTCCCGCACGCAAACCTCGGGTTATGGAGACCAGCTTATTTATTTATTTATTTATTTATTTTTGTTTTCAGGTGGGAGGTGTAGGCATTACACTGACGTCGGCTGATCGCGTGGTTATCTGTAAGTCCGTTTTTTCTGTACCATGATCAACATTGCTTTCAGCCAATCAGTTTTCGGAGCAAGCGCAACCAAAATACAGCCTCAGCGCGCCTAAGAACACGTGACCCTCCCGTCAAAGTCGGGAAGTTGGGCGCACTAGGGCATGTTACGTTTCCTTTCAGCTGCTTTGTTGATTGCAAAAATACAGCTTGTTGCTCAGGTTTCTAAGAGCTTAAGGAGCATGGGTTGGCAGTTTCATAGCTTGGACAGACATACATACGGTATGCCACTGTGATCGTTGCAGTGAAGCTTGAGGTTTTTTTCTCTGTTCGCTTAAGAAATTCACCCTACCACCCGCAGTTGGTCATTGTTCGTAACGCTTTTAAACGAAAAGTACAACACTGAGTGTTTTTTTGGGTCGGTGATGAAAAATCCTTATTTCTTTACGCAGTTGATCCCAGCTGGAATCCGGCTACAGACGCGCAAGCGGTGGATAGGTGAGATTCTAGGAAGTCGGGTAGATAAAGGTGGATTTCCACTGTCGCGTAATTTTTACGTGCGTACCGGCGTAAATGAAATAGAGTCTATGTATGGAAGGTGGTGCGTAAACGTAACAGTTGGACCTCGCTCAACTTTTAACGTAACGCGCGACCTTTTTATTTCGCCTCTACTTTATTGACGCACGTAAATGTCACGCGCATACGCAGTGACCAACGCGTTCGAAATTCACGCGACAAACATTTAAATATTTACCATCATTTGTTAACCCACTCGCGTTCTTATACCACCAACGTGAATAGCGATCAGGTGAACTGGGCAATCAGGTCTGGACGTGCTGTAAGTGGTACAAACCGTGTAAAACGCTGCATACCACTTTTTCAAACGATATATCTGGATCAGTTCGCGTTTTCACTGAAAAAAAAAAGACCGAAGCCTTTAGTATCAAAGGGTATATTTCATCATTTCCCATCATAAATTTATGACCATTTGCCAATGAAACACCCCTATATAAAGGAGGATAGACGTGTCAGCTTCCAAGGCTATCGCAATGGGTAAACACTTCTTCAACCACAGCAACAGTAGTGAGCCCGTAGTAATCAACTGTAACATGCGATGCTTGTCATGTGAACCCTTTAAGCCCCAATGGTGACCACATCCAATTTCTCTCAATATTAACACTGCCTGATCAAACAGACTGGTTATGAGAATTAATGAAATGATCACCAAAGATGAAATCTTGTGATGTTAGAACAAATTCTCTCAAGCAGTACCATGGGGAATGTATGAAGAACAGTGTGGAGATTCAGAAGATGCATGTCGATGTTGGGGCTTAAAGGCTTAAAGGGTTAAAACACTTTCTACTTCAACGAGCAATTTCTGTCATAGCTAACCACTCGAGCTGGTTTTTTAAACAGAGTATACCGCATCGGACAAAAGAAGACTGTAGTGATTTACCGGCTCATTACATGCGGCACTTTGGAGGAGAAGATCTACAGAAAGCAGATTTTTAAAGACGCGCTCATGAAGCAAACCACCGGTGTTTCCAAGAATCCTTTCAGGTAAATGTGATGTTACACGGAACGATTCGCAACGACGATTTTTAGCGCAACGCAGCCTTTCAATGTTGGAATAATGTTGCAACGCTGTGTTGCGCTAAAAATCGTCGTTGCGAATCGTCTCGTGTAGCATCACCTTAATATTACGGTACACACTTTAGGGTCATATTCACTAATACTGGCCAGGTCCTCAGAGCGCAAGATAAAGCAAATACTGTGTTCTCATTGGCCATCCCGGCGAGCGATCAAACCCGCTTTTTTTGCCACACATAAAATTATCTTTTAACCAATCTTGTGTGATCAAGATGGCAGAAGGTTGCGTTCGTTGATTTTGCTACGAAGCCAGTATTCCGCCATCTTGAACTCACTCGTGCGTGTAGATTTATACATAACACTTAACGATAAGTAAATTTTTGTAAAAAAAAATGTCACTTAATAGGAAGAGCTGTATTGGCGTTTTAATAGGTTGTATACTGTGAAAGGTTTGAACTCAGGAGTCATTTCCTAAGTAGGTAGGGTATGATGGTCTTGGTGAATGTAGTCGTGAATAGGACTGTTGTTGACAGTAAGTAACGTTTTGACAACCTGTGCGGTAGTCATCTTCAGAGTCAAAATGAGTTGTGTCACGGCAGGTGATGGTAATAAACTCTTGTTATTGACCTGATTGGTCAATTAAGTCGCGATGTTATTGGTCGTCTGTCAGTTAAGCCGTGATGTCATGGGCTGTAAGGATTCAAAATGTCATTGGGTGTTTCGATCCGTCTATTGTCACAGTTTATACATGTATACTATATACTAAATGTACTAAAAGCAGTTATTCTAACGGTGATTTTTTTGTGTGTAACTTTCAGGTATTTTACAAATCAGGAACTTCGAGACCTTTTTACGTTGGACGATCCTTACACATCTACAACGCAAATGCAGCTGGAACAAATGCATGCGCATCACAGGAAAACTGATGCAGAGCTGGACAAGCATATTGAATTCATTCACACGCTGAGTAAGTTCAAATGTGACCGTCTGTCAGTGATAACGCCATGCCAACTCAGCTCAATTATATCTTATTATATGCCTGAATCCGCGAGCGGGCAAGATAAAAAGAATCCAGCGTTCTGATTGGCTACCCGAACAGGCAAGATGAACAGAATCCAGCGTTCTGATTGGCTACCTGATCTGGCAAGATAAAAAGAATCCTGCGCTCTGATAATATCCAACCATCTTGACCTCGCGCTTGGTCAATAACGCATATATAACGCGCAACACGGGAGGCTTACATTCTTTTTGTTGGTGAAGCGGCTAAAGCAGCGGTAAAACAGGCAACAAAAACGTACAACTTGTTCTGTTAGATTGCTCCAAAGCGTGTCGAATAGCCACGTTGCGTGTTTGATTACCTACGAATCAAACCTATCTTGCAACAAATCAGTTTGTTACAGGTTGCGGAAAAGGGTTGCAGAAAGTAGAGAGAAGTTCTATTTTGTTGCAACGAAATCAGTATATGTAGCGCGTTTTACCAGCCCAACGCAAACTTGTTTTGCAATAAGTGACGTAATTTACTTGTATGGCTCGACTCCCGCTTAATTTTACCCAGTTAGAAGTCAGTATTCACGCAACTTGTAACAAGCTCATTTGTTGCAAAACAGGTTTGAACGTTGGTGGTAAAACGCGCAACATCGCTTTTCAAGTCGTTTGGTAGCAATGCTGCAAAACATGTCGGACGTTTTTGTTGCCCGATTTACCCTAGCTTTAGAGTTTTTTTACTGGATAGGACGACAGTCAGTCACAGGGTTACCCCTTGTCTTTGTTTGCAACCACGTGACGAGACGGCCATGTTGGTTTTCCTTTTCGAAGAATTTACATAAAAATGGGTTTTATTTCCCAGAGAGAGAAATGCTTTGTCCTTGACCACCAACATGGCGCCCGTGACGTCACCTGCAAACCAGCAATAAGACTTACAACCTCAGTGTGTTTGGCTATTTTAAGGTTGCGCGCGAGACTGGGTCTGTGTTGTTCCGAATTCCACCATGGAACTGTTTAAGGACACTATCGCTTCTTTCATTGGCTAATCACAAATTTGTGCAGGGAACTGGGTCAAAATTCGTCCCTCAAAACAGTCCCATAGTGCAATTCAACGCAACACACACCCAATCTGCCGCGCAACCTTAAAAAAGCCTGTTGGATATGAGACTTAAAACTCCTTTTTTCCTTTTTACTTGTAGATATATTCGGCATAAGTGACCACGACCTAATGTACTCCCAGGAAGAAGTAGACGCAGCAGATGAGTTAAGCAGTGGTGCTGATGATGATGCTATACAAGCCAGAGTTAGTGAATGATTGGTGTCTTTGGAGCCAATGCTGTACATACTATGGCTGTGGGGGGAGGGGAAGGGTTACCTTAAGGAATTATTAGTGGGGGTTTGCTACCTGGTTCTCCAAATATTATCCCTATTTCAGGCCAAATCATGCCATGTTACGTGAACGGCCCCGGTTATGTAATGGCCCCGGCCAGTTGCCTTAGAACCTAACGTGTGAAGTTGAAATACTGAAAGAGTTTGACTGGCGTTTGAGGTTACGTCTTAAGTATGTCTTAAGTTAAATGTCCCACTTACAGACCCTTTTGTTGCTTAAAAATTCTTAGAAAATGTTCGAACAAGTTGCTGCATCTGTACGATGTTGATTTTGGTTACGTCGTATGTGTAAACTAGGCCTTAACAAATTCTGCTTTTTCCTTAAAAGACGATGTTACACGCGACGATTTGTGACGACAATTTTCAGCGCAACAGAGCGTTGCAACATTGTTACCATATTGTTTCGGATTGTTTCAACATTGCTGCCCAAAAGTCGCCTCGTGTAACATCACCTTAGTAATGATACACTTCCACCTTCCCTTTTCCTGCCTTGTCGCATTCTCCCTGGATCAAATTTTCCAGATTCAAGATTTCGAGCCGTAAAATAGTTTATCCAACCCCAGGATAATTTTTTTTCAATCACATGCCCTCGACTTATAAAGAACAGTAGAGGGTATCTTTGACTTCTCAATCTGACCACCCTTTTGGCTTGTTTTATTTTATTGCACAGGTTCTTCGTGCCCAGAATTTGATGGCAGCTGAAGCGAGGCTTTCAGGACAAATCCGGCCTGGGAACTCAAATCCCCCTTCCGGTATTCACCCAGGGGAAATGGCTTTACCCCAGGGGTTGCGCCATTCACTACCTGCTAATGAAGATAATATGAGCGCAAGGCAGAAGATTCAAGCAAAAATCGACAGTGAAAGATTCATTGTTCCCAAGCAACAAGACACCAAGCGATTTCAACCAAGACAAGTGCTTAAGGTTAGAATTGGGCATTTAATGAGCTAATACGAAAAGAAGTGTTAGTAGTTAACAGTATCTTCCTTATATACTAAGGATCTAATGCTTTAATAGAACGTTTTCAATTACGTGGCCAGCATCTATGTAAATTTATCGGAACAAAAGAAAACGTTTGCATAAGAAAAGAGTTTTAAACTGCCTCAGGATTTGTTTAGGAAACCAACATGGCCATTTCATTGTTTTGGGACACCAAGATGGCCGCCGTGACGTCATGTGAAAACACGCTATACTCCGTTATGAAAATTTGTGTTTATGGTTGATGGGAGGGGTACAAGCGGCACTGAATTGGACTGTTTACACTTACTCTTTAGACTCCAGCGAATCCTATTGTTTCCAACCCCGCAGTGGTAGACTTGTGTTCGCCAAGTCCTGTGAAAAACTCCACCCTTCCGTCCCCTGTGGAAAATGACCAGGGCTTGGATACAGACAAGGAGGAGGAACTAGAGAAGACGCCTTTGTTTGGACAAAAGCACATTTCCTTGGACTTGTGCACTCCAGATCATAAGCAGTTCTCCCCTCACAAGTCCCCTGTGGAAGATAATCACCTACCATCACTCACAGATGTCATAACACGAGAACAGACGCCTCAGAGGGGAGATGTTGTGCGAGGTTCTCCACACCAGTCTCCCGATGACATAAGCCATTTGTTACTTAAAGATCTTTTAGATCAAGAGGAACAGACCCAGGGGGAGGGTCTGGAGGAAGAGTTTAATTCCCTTCGTATTGAAAATGACAGCATGAACTCGGTGAAGGACAATTCGTCGAGGAGTGAAAGTTCTCTTTCTGACACTTCCCTCGAAAAACAAACGTGAGTGATAAGTATTTTGTCTCTGTTGGAAAGGGTTATAGTCTGCCAACTTCCGTTATTGCAGACATCCCCAGGGTTTTTTTTGATAAAGCAGCTTAAGACTAAGTGCGAGGGAATTTTCTGAAACTGTTTTCTTTGTTATAAAGGAATTCCCCCGGCTTTATTTGTTTCCCATACTCGTTAACCCGCTGCCAGTTGTACAGTTAGCCTTGATTAACGAGTGTAAACTGTAAACGGAACGCAGCGTATTTACGTATATGTTTGTACACTTTTAGAGTTTCCAACACTGCAATCACTGTTATAACTTCCCCAGAACTAAAATTGCTCGCTACCTTGTCACGATTATTTTATTCAGGAAGTGAATGACTCACTATTGGAACAAGCTGTCTTTCATTTTTCGTGCTCTTTTTCTTTCTTTTCCAGACTTGAAGAGTCTAGTCAGTTGTCAGACGATAGTACTTCAAATGCTCTGCCCGAAGCAGATCTATGTCCCACAGGCGAACATGTTTCTGACAACATCAAGATACAGAGGTGCGCTTGTCTAGTCAGCAGTGAAGAGCAAGAAACATATGACGCCTACATTAACGGTGGAAGGTTTGTCTTGTTGACATTTTCTTTCAAATGCATGTGACATATATAAGAGATTTAGAATCGCTTTTACGACAAACGTTAAACATTGGATTGAAGAAACTAATTTCTCGAAAGTAACTTTTATGGATGAACCTGACATGAAACTATCATTTTTGTGTACAGTTATAGACTACGAGTGGTCCCCATTTTTCCTCAGGGTTAGTAGAGCGAGCGAAACGCGAGCGCGCGTGAAAATCATTCCACGCTAGAAAGGCGAGACGGGTGATTTTCACGCGGGCTCGCGTTTCGCTCGCTCTGTTATCTCTGAGGAAAAATGGGGACTACTCGTAGTCTAGTACATTTTAAGGAACGGTAAGCTATAAATTAAGGGAAAACTTGGTGACTTGATACAATTTGTTAATTGCCTTTCCCCATAAATGTCTGTGTCGCGGTCTGTGTGGTTTGTATTAAGGAGACGTATCTTGTCTTTTATTTAGAAAGTGGTCCTATAACCACTCAGATGGTTTTAGTTTGCCCGCAAATGTACTACTTTATTTTATATAAGAAACTTAAGGGGAAGCGTGTGCTTGAGCGAAGAGTGTGACAACTTTGCAAATCCCCTCCTTCCCCCACTTCTTGCATTCTTTTACTCATAAAATACCCTGATCATGACACAATTTATTTTGCAGAGGACTTGAGCATGAAGGAAAGAAGAAGGAAGCCCTTTCACACTATTTGAATGCCTTGGAGTTACAAAACAGCGATCTAAAGTTGCACTTGAAGGTTTTGGAGCTTGCGCAAGGATTCAGTAATACAAATCACTAAACTCTACGAAATTCCTCTTGTCTTCTAGTTGATATTATATTAATTAATATATCAATAAATAATAGCAAATGATCAATAAGTAAAAGGCTCTGTGAGCTCTACGATAGAGGTCAGATTCAGAGAAACTACCCACCTGCCTCTCCCCTAATCCAACAGTTTGCCCTAGGTAACAAGTTAGTGTTTATGTTGGATTTGGGGGAGGGGTAGGTGGGTAATTTCCAAGAATCCTATACTGATTCAATTTTTTCCCTTAGTTTACATCATTTATATAAATCAAATATTGATAAATAATGGCAAATGGTTACAAAGAGGATATTTTCACGCAGGGTGAAGCCTATGTTTCGGTTATGTTGGCAGTTTTCCTTCCAGTTTACCGGGATCAAGACCTCAACCATGTTCTCAAGTGAATGGTTGTCAAGCACAACGGTTTCCTTGGTAACGAGGCGTGACTACGTCAATCATCGGTCCAAAGATGACTTGTTATAAAATAAATAGAATTGTTTTTGAAGTTTTGCCTTATCAGTTTGTGGTCATGAATGTAACTAATGTAGTATTTTCCAGCATTTCAGACTCCAGGCTTGGCAAAGTGGGTGAACACTTTTACACGGACCTTGGCGTGTTCCCCCTTTCAGAAAGGCGTGGCCATTATCACCTTTTATTAGATTTACCATTTCGATCTGTGGGTGAATTGCTGTAAACTCCTCCGACTGGCGCCCTTCTGCGACCTAGAGTTTGCACAACTTCACATCTGAGACTTTTCTGCGCGTTTTCCCCTTCTTTGCGGCCGCTCTCATTCAATTCTATAATCGGTGCTTATTGAGTCGCTCAGTTAAACTCTAATTACAACAATCCCGAGACCTTTCCCAAGAGCAATCCTATACACATTAATATGGTCTGTTAAGTATTATTTCATCAATCTATATTTGAGGATTACAGAGCTAAATATTGAGTTATTTTGTTTTAACTTTGTTATTACACGTACACTTCGTTTAGTTCTGTGTTACCTTTTGTTATTGTTGTTGTTGTTGTTCGGTATGGGCGGGACGTGGGAGAGAGTAAAATACATGTTTTGTAGATAGGTACTATTAGTTAGAAGTTAGACTTTGTTATAGGTATTACTGGCGTATTTATAGTGTTTTCGTATAACGTTATTTTTGGCGATCAAATGATTTGCACCATTGAGTTCTTCATTAGTTTTGTTGTTGATGTTGTTGTTATTGTGTTGCTTTAATTGGCCCGGCATGGGCGGGGGGTGGATGAGAGTGAAATGGATAAGTACATTTATTATAGATAGGTACTGTAAGCTTATAGCTATGGAGTTTGTTGTAGGTATTATTGACTGTATTGATGATGTTTTCGTGAAACGTTATTCGGCTATCAAATCAACAGCACCAACAAAAAGTCGCCACTTTACGAAAAGGGATTTTCCGAACTATTGCACGGAGCTTTTACGATGCTCAAATAATGATGATGATGATGATGATGATAATAATAAATAATAATAATAAATAATAATAATAATAATTTAAAATGGAACCCCGTCAGTGAGTTAATCAAGCTTGTGTTATAAGAAATTCCTTTTACTTTATCATAGAGATAGATACAATCGATTCACACTAATATGCTCTACGGTTTTTTGCTCTTGGGGGTGCGGGGGCCCGGCATATCCGTTATCCCTTTAATTTTTGGCTTAACGATCCCCGTCAATTCCAATGCTTTGGATCTCAATAATGGTAAATACTTTTAAAGACGTCATTTCGAGGAAAGGAAAGGCTTTACCTTGTACAAGACTATCTAGGGGGCTCAATATTGTCAATATCCAAACAAGCTGATTGTCTTTTCCTCCAGCTCTCTGATCTTTCCTTTCTATTATTGAACTTCTTGTTCTATCAGAAACGATTTCTTTGACACTCGATATCCCAGAATCTCGTCTAAATATCCCGTATCCTAGTAGCCCCTAACAGGGACACTAAGATTCCCGAAATGGAGTACCTGCTATGCAAATCGAAGCATAAAGGTGATGTTACACGCTACGATTCACAACGACGATTTTTAGCGAAATGCAGGGTGGAAACATTGCAACGCTGTGCTGCACTAAAGATCGTCGTTCCGAATTGTCCCGTGTAACATCACCATAAGACGTGTTCACGATATCCAGTAATGCCTCGTCTACATGCAAACGAGAGGAAGTTTCCAAAACGAAGAAAGGAACTTCTGGGCACGAAAACGAAAGCGGCCAAAACTGAGAAGTGCTGCACTTGACGAATTCTCATCAGCTTATCAGCTTCCATTTCATTCATTGTTGCACTAATTGAGTATGAAAAAGAAACTATTAAAACACTGAAAAAAAAAAACACTTATTCCACACAAGGAAAACAGCATCACTTTATTTTACAATTGTTGCGAATTCTCATTATATTAGTACTTTACATTTGAAAATTCATATAAATAGAGCTTATCCACCCAACTTCTCTTCTCGTTAGTTATATTATAACACTCTCAGAAATAGATTGTACAATAAACATTGAAAAAGCATTCCTTTGGTGCAGTTTGTGCACAAAAATACATGTTCTCATTCTCACGCCCTCTTTATCTGGGCAAATATTCAAATTCATACATTAAATACAACCCGCCCACAATTCTCTTCATTTTTGGCATTGACAGATTATTTCAAAGTGTCTAAAAAAGTCACCGAAAAGTGAGAAAATGAAAAAAATAGTGAAATTGTTCGTAAAATTCTCCAAAAAGACTTAAGTATAAGTACGAAACGTCCCTTGTAAAAGAAGGGTTCAATATCTGGTTAAGTCCATTAGAACTGTGCGGCCCTTTCTCTGAAAATATGGACAATTAGTTGAGCGTGCGTAAAAGTGTATCATTGCTTTGCGCATGACTTTAGATCTACAGCTCGTCCCTCGTTCCTTGAGGGTTCGCAACCTCGTTTTCAGGTTTCTCCCGGCTCTTAAGGGAGGAAGAAAGACGCCTCTGGGAATGAGGTTGGGGTATTCAATCCTCTCTGCGCTACTGCGCAAACTTGAAGAGCTTAGTTGGATATTTTGCACGATGACGTCTTTTTACTACTTAGACCAGAATTTATTTCGCTTTTTCTTTCATAATCCTACTGAGGTTTAAATAACAAAAGTCCTCATTTGCACAAGAAAACAAAACCCTGAAGGATTCTGGTGGTAGAAGTGGTAGTGGTGGTGGTCGTGGTCGGTGGTAGTGATAGTAGTCGTAGTATTAGAATGACGCCGTCGTGCAAATGGCCTATTCTCTCCAGTCAGAAGCACGAATACTACTGCTAAGCGACTCTCGTCTCTCTGTAAGTATAATTGAGTTTTCAGGTGAAAATTCTAAAAGCGGACAGATAAAAATGGTCTCGCAGTTTACTGGCTTAAAGAGATTTGGCTGCAGCAAAGATGAAAACAAAAATTTAAAAAAAGCATGAATTTCTTTTAAATGGCGATTTGATAGTTAGTCTTTTCTCCTTTGAGGGACGCCCATGGTAGATAAATAAATCTTTTCAGCCATTAATTTGTTTCTAAATGCATGAAAACACTCGGTCCAAAAATAATATTCCTCAACGGTTCTCGTTACATTTTTTGCAAAAAAGTTTCTAAGATAATTTCTATTACACTTTCGTCAGTCATATTTCTGTGGTTAAATAGAGCATATATAAAATATTGCTATTCTCGGCAGCAAATTGGAACTAGCTTGCAATCGAAAGTAACCCAAACTTGGCCCAATATATTAGTATCGAAAATACAAATATAATGTACTTTAGGAAACGCCTAGTGTAAACAGAGGATGCGTTCTCACAAATTATTAACCATATCACACTTTTATATTAATAGCCTGAGAAAACAGCCGACATTTTGCGACGCTACGATTGCTTTCCCCACAAAATGACACCTGACTGATCTGAGGAACGAGCGCAAAAATTCAATACTAATGACGTGTCACTTCCCAGATTTGGGTTTTGCTTCTGATTGGTTAAAGCAAATTCTCAACCAGTCAGAAGCACTACCCAGATCTCGGTAGTTACAAGTCATCAGTACGGAATTTCTACGCTCGGTCCTCAGACGTCATTCCTCGTAGCGTCGCGAAATGTCGACTCCTGGTCGCCTGTTTTTTCAAGCCATTATTTTCATAACCCCTTATTGTTATCTTTCATCTGAATTCTCTAAGCTTATTGTTCTCTTTCCGTGTTCAAGTGAAGCAAGTTTCTCCACAAGCGACTCGTATGTATTCCTTTCGTTTTCGATTGAGTGATGCTCGGAGACGTACGTTTTCGCATTGTTTATGAGACGAGTACGGAGTGACGGAGTCTTAAGCAGCTCTTTGGAGAGACTAACAAATTCCTATAAAACAAAAACGCAAATTATATTGACCAACCATAACTATGATAACTTAAGTGTCCAGTGCTCGGCACAGATAAGGACAGATAGAGAGATTTCGACGTACAGATCTCCAAAGAATATCCTTGGTTCTGACAAGTCGTTCCAAACTGATATACTTTGGGGTGATCATTAACCTACAGTTGCAGTGGCGGATCCAGCCAGACCTTCAGATAAGGGGGTGGGGAGGAGGAGTCATCTATACCCTGAGATAAGTGGGGCGGCGGTCGTCCAGACACTGAGATAAGGGGGGCCCGGTCTCAAAAAGATTTTTTTTGGCCCTTTGGACCTCATTTTGGTCTAAAAATAAAGGGGGGACCGGGCCCCCCGGGCTCCTCTCCGGATACGCCACTGTCTACCGTTGGGCATGGTAAAAGCACTACACTGAATTATTATACGGTTAGTAATAGACCCAGTTGACGTTTGGTATTTTAACTGTAGCGTGAATAACTAAGCAGATGCTTTGTAGTTAGAACGAAAAGCGAGGAAAACTTATTTTAGAGGCCGCATCCACTGAGGAAGTTTAGCGATCATAAAAAGTCTTAAAGGTAGGGGATTGGGTCAGAACTTACCCCGGCGGAAGGCTTCACAACGAGATTTAACCCCGTACTAGTTAATATACACATTTACCATTTGATTTTCGGCCGAAATGGCATCAATTTCAAATACCTTCCATTCAATAATGGTGCCCATTTCACAAACTTAATAAAAGTAAGTATTCTTGTCACTTTATGTAGCGTTTAATAAGTTAAACTGATACACCAAAAAGGTGCGTCGACTTGAGACTACGAGCAGTCTCTCTTTTTTCTTGGTCTGTCGGGCAAAACGCCCGAGACACGCAAATGACCACGCGAGTGTCTGAAGGCGCGAGACGGGAGAGGCGCGACTTTTTTCTTCTCGGGCTGCCGCCCTCGTTTCTCGCGTCTCGCGGCTTTGCTGCTCAACGCTCGCGCGCGCGTGCACTCCCCTCACTAAATCTGAAGAAAAAGAGAGACTGCTCGCAGTCTACGTCGACTTCAAATATTTTAGTAAAAGTTCCTTTTTAACACCTAAATAATAGTTTTCCCTGCTTTTCCAAATACCTCAACTTACGAAACCCCACCCTGGGCCTAAAATGGGCCTTAAAAAAACCTAAAAAAAGGAACCCCGAGGTTACTTAATATCGATCGCAACAGATGCAGTTCGTTTGAGTAACATGTCTTACCTGAGGTGTATCAAACAGAAGTCCGGATTCCCCGTGTTGAATCACCGCAGAATTTCCTGGAATGTTCCGTGCCAGCACAGGAACACCAAGGTTCATTGACTGTTGGCAAAAGCAAAGCGTGAAAACCAGAGGTAGTTTTTGTAAAATCTTTTCATAAAATCAAAATAAAATTATAACGAGACTCCGTAGAAGTTCCAGACAAATTCAAATGTAATTACTAAAAGTGGAGCTAAACATTCAAACGTTATACAGAAAAAAGCACGCGGCTATTTTTATTCTTTGAAACTTCAGTGTGTGCACCTCCACCAACCAAACCCCCAACACCGCACCCCCCCGCCTTCCACCCGGAGGTCCATCCCCTTATCCTTTTATAAACCATTTCTGACAGAGAAGGTACCCCTTTCGTATACCTTCTTCTGATAAACAGTGCCTCTTTCACATACCTAGTTTAGAACCCTGCATTCCTTTCAGCCATCGTAAGTGAACGGGTTTTTTTTCATACGAATAAACCAGGAAAATTTACATCCACACAATACGTCTGTCAGCCCTTTTTTTAGCCCTTTTAGACATCGAAATGACAGGTTTCCCTACTCTTTTTTGGCGGGGCCTTCTCGTATATAGGCAATTACCGTTCCCCACCCTTTGGGAACCTCGCAACCTTTTTGAACGCCAGCCAAAACTCACTCAAACTTTCTGAAAATTATGTTCCTATCTTGCCGTTTGACGTAACACTCAACTGACCTCTAGAATCGCCGATGCCATTCCCTCACTGCTTGAGCTATTTACAACAGCAAAACAATCTTGAATGGCCGCGTGAAGATCACAAGCTGGCACAGAAGGCATGAGAACGACTCCTGGGTACCTGGTAATGATATATTTGCAGCAAATTTCAAAAAGAGGAAACAGTTTATCATTGAGGTGAAAAACGTACTGGTGACCAGGATATTAATCCAATAGAACACATCAGCAAAGACACTATTTCAAAGCATCCATTTGAGGTAAAACGAAATAATAGAACAATAGGTCCTAATAGGGACCCCTGTGGTCCAACTCTCGTAAACGACCACTGCCCGTAAGCAAATTATCACACTATTAAACCGCATTTCGGATGCATTCGAACCTGCCTGTTTCTTTGAAACATTCTTTGGTATAGTACATCTATGTTTGTGCCAAGCTGATGTAAAACTCTGGGGGCTTTTATTTTACACTGACGCAACTCCTAATCTTTGTAAGGCCATGACAGATACTTTGTGACTACTAAAGAGTGCTTTTGACTCGTTTTATTCCGGAAGAATGTTCAAAATAACACACAAACTTTCGTACGGTTCTCTTTTATTCGGAGTTAATTTTTCTGAAGCAGATGTTAACACTGTTTTTCAGCTAGGGTTAGGCACTCTGATCAGACTACGTTCTTTATATGGCTGTCTTTTTTACAACACAAAAGACATCTGAACGGTAATAGAAGTCGTTTAATACCTTCGGAGTTCAGATTTCACTTCTCTCGCAAACTCAGTATCCAGCTACGAAAAAGGCAAAAATGAGAATTTAGATTAATATTTTCTCACGTTACAATTTTTTTTAATCAGCTATTGTTGTTTTTTAGTATTTATAGACTAAAAATCACTAACTTATTTTGACTTGATAATGGCGTTCAGCTAACGTCGAAACGTCGTCGTTTTTTAGCAATTTTTTAATCTTAAAATGATTTTAAGAAATGTTTTATCGCAATTTTTTATAGTTAAATGCTTTTCAAAATCACTTCTTGTTCGCATACTAATGTAAAAATAACATACACAGAAAGATTTTCTACAATTTTAATTAATTGTCTCAAGAATTATCATGCTAGTTACCTCTGGTCCAACAATCACCAAGTGAATGCGACGGTCTTCTTTATGCCACTCTAAAGGTAACAAGAAATACAATAATTAAGCTGACCGGTCAACACTTACATGTCATGATGACTGTTACTGTACTAAGTAAAAAAAAAATCATTTTAATTGATCGTCAATGTATATAGCACTAAAACACTAATTAATGAGGACAAAAGCGGTATTTTTATGTCTCTTACTGGAGACTTGACCGGCATTTCAAGTGGTCATCCAAGCCACGTGAAGCTCAAGCCATTTGCAGGGCAAAGGCAGTACCTTCATTTGTCATTACACTGAAGACCCTGAGTATTGCAATTGGCCCAGCCCTGAGAATTGAACCTGTGACCTCCTGCTCTTCAGTAAGGCATTTTACGACTGAGTCAATCTTGCTGTGGTCAAAAAAGACATGCCAGGGTTACTGTAGTCCATACCAGCTTGTTTAAGGTATCAAACTTCTACAAAGTTATGTGCTTATGCAGCTTCCATACAGACTACACTGGTTATTACAAACTTACAGACCTGCTATGGATGCAGCTAAGTAAAGCGGATCTTTAACTCGTCTTAAACCAGCAACCAACATAAACACAATCTGAAAAAATGAATAAATGAGTATTAAATAACTGGGACGAACCACCTAAGTGGTTGCAAGTGTGGAGCTTTTGAAATGTGATCCTTGAATCACTCAAAAATAGTTTAAGGAGAACCTACCAAGTCAAAATATTCAGGATCTTGACACATGTACATGCCATTTATGACTGGAGAATGACTGAGTGGCTCTGCAAAGACAAAAATATATTATTTATAATATAGAGTTTCAAAGATGACTTAGAGTGATTTTACTTGACCTGTGAAACAGATACTAACAATTACTGCAAAATAGCTACTAGACCGTAAACAGAAGAAGACAATGGAATTAGTGCATTATAGTGTGTAGTATTCTACTACCTATTACACGGGTTAAGTAAAATCACTCCATATGTATATGTCACTATAACAATATGACTACTGAGAATGAACAGGTAGATCAATACAATCTGTCGAAACAGCCTCAATCAACAATCACACTACAATGGACTCTCTCTAAGAAAGAAACTATAATGACTGGCATCAACCCTCCATCTTTATCAATAGAGCGAAATGACTGAAAAATGGCATTTTGTTGATGTACTAGCTGGAGGAAGCAAAAGCAGATTGTAAGTTGTATTTTTCCGATGGCCAGGAGTGTGTGCACTTGTACACTAAAAGGTCTTGTACAGCAAGAAGGTCTTGGTTTTTTTTTTGCATCAAAAGCCCCATAAGTGTGTGGGGCTCACATTCACATCATCTGTTGGGCCTAAGAGCCATGCCAAAATAGTTTATCAATAAATTGATACCAATAGCCATTGTGATAAAGGGAGGTGGGTGGGGCAAGGATTGTATCATACTATTAAAGGACAGGACTTTATTTCTGGGGACAAAAGATTTACATGATTTTCTTACTGATGAGGTGCTTCAAGTGATCATGTAACTGGAAATTTGATGGTCCAACACAAACAGCTGAAAGTAATAATAAAATGCATCAACCTGTAGATTCTACAATAAAGAATAAATTTTGTCAATCATTTTTTTACCAAAATATCTCGTCACTAATTTATAATAAATGACTGAGTTTCAGCAGTTCTAAATGTAATGTTCACATGTACAACTGCATGATTGGAAGGTCATGATCATGACACTGTAACCACAAAATCTGGCTATAGTGTCCCACATTAATTTATGGCTACCTATATTAAATAAGTGGTTAGTTAATATTATTGATGTTTTACCTTGAGGCTGCAAAATAAATTTCTCTTCACTTCTTGGCTATAAAACAAGATCAAAATCAGCTTTTTTCAGTACAGACAGTCAAACTCCCTGATAAACAAACACCTCATTGACCAAACTCGACCCTTCAGCTACCGCACATTGCTATCATAATCCAAAAAGCACACAAGCCATACTGCCAACACTACAGTATTGTTCACAGCTCTATTACCACTGACAATAAAAATTAACTGGAGAAAGCCAAGTTATGAGGGTGACTTTATAGTGATGTTATCACCACAAACAGCTTAAGCATAAATTTAAAATATCCCCATTGTAAAGTATATTTTACCAACAATCTTCTCAAAATAAACTAGTAGTAATCAAAAATTATTAATAAGAAGGGGTTAAATTTTTGTGTGAGATCACATGGTTTTGAGGTACATGTAATGGAGAATGGTGTGATCTCACATGGTTAAAATGTGAAAAACAATTATTACAGAATGAGTTAAAATGAGTTAAATGCTGAGACAGAGAAAATGGTCATGCTAGTGTTCCCAGGACACATAACAGGAAACAAAAGTAGGGAGTAGTTCGTCGACCACAAAAACTCTTACCCATAAAGCTGTTGCCTGCTTTTTCATTGGATTGCTGAATGCAACAAGATAACTGAAAATAAGGAAAAACAACAGTCACATTACGCAGTAGAAACCCCCACACAGGTAACCCAATATTAGGGTAAGGGTAGCCTAAGAGAGATGTCCTTCTGGATCTTTATACGTTTCTGGGAAAATGCCTACCTTCCCCTCCCCTACACAAACATTTTGCCCTAAGTGAGAAGTAAGTGTTAATGTTGGCTTGGGGGAGGGGTAATGGTGGGCACTTTCCCATAAACGTATAATAATCTGTCCTTCTTATAGAGAGTCTGCTAAAAGGAGTGAAAAAAAGGCAGGGACCAACTCTTGGTGTTCATCTATAAAGATGTTGGTTAACCCTTTAAACCCTAAGATCAAAATTTGAATTCTCATTTGTTGCCCCTATTCACTTCCTACAGAAGTAGTGGGGAGAAGTTGATAAAATATCAAGCAAATTCATTTGTGTGATCATGTCTGTAATTCTCATGACCAGTCGGTTTTACAATGCATTGATATTACAAGGAGAAATTTGATGCTGATCAGTCTTAGGGCTTAAAGGGTTAAGAGGGAGTTAACTAGCTGTGAATATAAATATGTACCTTGCTTTTACCACCACTTTGCTCATAGCTTCAAACTTTTCTTTGTCCTTTTTATGCTCATTGAGATCAGTTCCTCCAAAAATAATAGCAAAAGGAACTGGACAATCTAGGTGAAAACAATGGATAAGTAGAAGAAAAATAAAGATCATCACTGATCTGTTATGGCTTACCAAAATTCAGACACTTAGCCATTAAAATTTCCATGTGAACAGAGCAAATATATTGAACAAAGTGTCCAATCAATTATTTTTCAGCCGGTCAAAAATTCATCCAGTGTTATGTGAACGTTTTTTAAGCCAGGGTTTTTCACTTCAGTAACTATAGATTCACTGAACCCTTTTACAGTTTGAAACAGATATAAAACATAACTCATTACAAAGTTGCTGTAAATTCTCCACTTTAGAATTTCTAAGAAGAATGAGTCCAGGCTGTTGGGTCATGTTGGATGCAGTGAGTTCTGAAATTGTTCAATGGACAAATGTTAGGGCACTTTCCATTTGTCAGAACTAGCCGGCCGGACCATGGCTGGACCAGTCAGTTTGAAAATGAAATAGGCTTTTTCCAAGAGTGTTTGCTAAAAACTAAGATCATCTGCTTCATGGATACCATTTAGGATTTGACTGATCTGGCTGGATATAAAAGGGAAATTATCATTGCGATGGGAATGCATGGTCTGGCCGGTCAGTTCTGACAAATGGAAAGTGCCCTAAGTTATGATTGGTCGATGGTATTCAAGGCAAGACTCAACCAATCAAGACAAGTATCAACCAATCATAACCAATTCTGGTCTACCCAAACAACCCCAGATATTGTTGAACCAAAAGCTTGTACCAATTCCCTTTATAGTTAGGAAGATGTAAATCAACTTAAACTTTCTTAAACCTAGCAAAAGTCTTCCAGCTCTCCATGCATGTATGCCAATGACACATCGAAAAGCATGAGCATGAACAAACTTCGTCACTGACACACAATCACTGAAGGAGCTAATACATTGTAACCAGCATTCAATGTTGCAATCACCAAGGCATTTCCTAAAAAAATAACACATTCTTAAGATCAGTTCACACTCCCTTATTTGGCCATATGTGCTGCTAAACAGAGTGTAAAGGTTAGTGACATGCAGTCTGTGTGTGTAGTACTCGGGTGGGGGGGGGTGAAGGATACTGCCATATAATAATGGGTTATATAGGTTGTATTTTTCAGGTTTAACATCCCAGGTAGGCTATTTTTGTAGGAAAAAGGAAACCTAAAAGTTTTGGATTTAAAGATGTGATGGAGAGAGGAATGAAATAAATTTTCACTGGAAAATAATACTGAAGCCCTTGTAATTTCAAAAAGCCTCAAGTTCCCCTGGGATGACCAAACAGATACAAATTTTAAATTCCATCTTAGAATGCATTTCTAGGGGTCTAATAGTACTCTGGATAGCCCCATGGCCAGGTTAGGCTACTTTTGTAGGAAAAAGGAAACCTAAAAGTTTTGGATTTAAAGATGTGATGGACAGAAGAACCCAAAAAATGTTCACAGGAAAATAATACTGAAGCCCTTGTAATTTCGAAAAGCCTCAAGTTCCCCCAGGATGATCGAGCAAATACAAATTTTAAAGTCCATCTCAGAATACATTTCTAGAAGTCTAATAGTACTCTGGATAGCCTAAAAGTGTTTGCAATGCATTTGGGAGCGATTATAGCGATTATAACTTGTTGTTTTTCTTACTTCAATAGGTTATAAATAATGCATGTTTTAACAATCAGAAAGTTTAATTGTATCAAATGAACTGCTTACCTATTTATCGGTTAACTTGTAAGCCAATCAAATATGGAAAAGTCGATCAATCGTTTGATCGATTAGTATCACTCTTACAATTCTCGTAAATCTAATATGATTCTTAACTTAGCAGAGAATATTGATTTACAGGTTCGAGAGTAAAAATCTGTGGTAAAATCCCCACTGATCCTACTAATCTGGAGTATTTACGTTAAGCCAATGTAAAATATTTTTTAACACACAAAAATCACAATAATGTGAGCACACTTACTGTATTCGTTCGGCGGTTGAGAAATTCCCGGTCTCTGACGTTAGCGATGCGAGAAGTAAGACCCTCATGAATTTATCAAGTTCTCCTCACCTTTTACTTCATGACAATGAAGGAAAATCGCCGACACGGAAGTGTAAATAAAGGCCATCATAAATATTTACGTAATCTGACCTGATCAACGTGTAAGCCCCCTGAGTAACCGCGCGACTTTGCCAGTAGGCTCATTTCAACATGGCGGACGAGGGAGGAGGACTGGTGGTTGAGCCTCAAACGACTCAAACGCAAAATTCATCTTTGGTTAAGCACACTGGCGGCTGTCATTGCGGAAAGGTTCGATTTGAAGTGATGGCTCCTGCTATGTTACTTGTTTTGGATTGCAAGTGAGTTCCTTATGCATGGTTCAATTCTACCTGTTACCATGCTCCCAACCCTAGGCACGCAGAAGGAGACAATTACCTTACGGGCCCCTAGTCGTCCGCACATTGTTTTGGGTACAACATTTAGATTAAAATGCTGATTTTAATTTACTTGTTTGATGCCATTTTCAGCGGTCATCCTTGGGGGGAGAGGGGGAAGTCGACCCTCGGGAACGCCATGGGAAGAGGGTCGTGAAGGGGTGAAATGGGAACTGGGATTAGCCTTATTGTGGACTGGGAAAATGGGATTTACTCACTGGGCCTGGGATTTAGCTACTGGGAATGGGATGAACAATTATAAAATGGGAATGGGATTTCTTTTCTTCAGCGGTCTTTGCTCCAATATTTTGAAATAGAAAAATAAAATTTCGTAGCAATAGACCTTGCACTCCTCAGTAGAGACCGTGAAATCAGTATTTTTCGTCTTCGCGCCGGCGGTCTAACTACCAGGCTTACACGGTTGCATAGTTACGTTCTGTCAGTTTTCCTGGTCAGCGGACAAGTTCTGCAAGTTTACATATGGCGGGAAGATATTGTGAAGGGAAGATAAAAATGGCTTTGGAAAAGGTTTCTTCGCAAAATGGTACTAGAAATCAAGTACGTCAATGCAAATAATGCCGTTATACACACCGAAAATTTGGTAACTGGGATTTTGGCAAAAATTAGCCTGGGAACTGGGATTTGGGCCAAATTTAGGCTGGGAACTGGGATTTGGTACCCCCCTTCACGACCCTCTGGGAACCCGCCCCCGGCAAATTTTGCACTATGACTTTCACAAATCCCTTGACACCTAAGAACAAGATTTCGCGATGAAAGAAAATACCCTCTCACCTGGGGCAATAATAATATTGGTTCAAATGAGTTAAAAGGCACAGCCGATATAACAATACATAATACAACAACCTAGAAGAAAAAGTATAGGGCTTGACTGAACTCCGAGGACATGTCATGAGGACATGTCATCCTTTACGTAACCAGCCTTAGCTGCGACACTTTTCCATCTGCCATGCCTCTGAAAAATTCTATCACTAACCCTGCTGTTGGAAGCCCTTGCCGCTCCTCCAGACCAGAAAGAGTGAGTCCCGTAAACAGAGGGATCCGGAACTATACTCTGCAGACTTTTTGCTAACTGACCCCTGAAGGTTGCATATGAGATATGCTTATCAACTTGAACCAATTTGTAGGACGACTTGGTTTTAACAAGTGGTTGGAAAATAAATTCACTAGAGTCAGGGCTGATATCTAATTTCTTCACATTCTCTTTGAGTAAGAAAACTGGGCAAACATTCCCCTCAGATTGAGCAATAACCACTTCGTCACCTTGTCTAAGCTGATCAATCTTGCTTTTGTCTACTTTGACAGTCATGAACCCTTCTTAAAAAACGAATATGACTCATTCTAATATTACGAACCTCCTCAGATCTGAAAAAACCCAGATAGGATAACACGTACAAACAAACGTTTCTAAGCTGCAGGACATTAGACAAATCTGCTCCTTCCTCTTCTCGCTTCTTTAGAAACTCCCACTTTCCCCCCCCCCTCCTAACACACCCCTCCCACCTCGTACTCTCTCAGGCTCCCACCCCACTGTCCCTTCCTCCACTAAGATGAAAGGACCTTTTCAACAAAATAAAAATGGCTCTTTTTTCAATTATTTTTGGCTCTTTAACAGCTGCAGTATTTGTACAAAGAAGCAGAACAAACATTTTATTGTCCCAGAGGAACAATTTACATTGCTACAGGTATAACTATAACATACATCAGTATTCATCATTTAATACCTCAGTCACAATAATCACTCCTTCCCCCTCCCCCACCCCTATGGTTTAAAGAAAAGTATAGTATTAAGTGAAAATTGAATTTTGGGAGGAAAGGGGAAGGTAAAGCAATTTGTGACTTGTGGCTTGAATAACTTTGCAGAGACCCTGATAAGTCAGTAGACATGGTTTAAAAATACAACTTAAGGGACTGGCATTCCCTATAGATTCCTATACCTTCACTAACAACAACTGGTAAATTTGCTTCTGAGTCAAGTATCCTTCTTGCTTTAACTTAACTCTGGCCCAATTTTAGATGCTTTTAGAATAGTTTATATAGGTACACTGGCATTGATATAATGCAACATGTGGGAGAAGGACCCTAGCTTCACAGTGTTAATGAAAAGCAAAAAACTATGTGCACAAAGTCACCTAAATCAACATTAAAATTATTGCCAGTTTGTGAAATTCATTTAAAAGCTGTTCCACGACTTATTCTAGAGTGGATGTCTTATAGTTGGTGTTGTCTTCTATTCCTTCAGGGCCAAGATGATTTAACTTGCTACACTTTCAATACACATCAGGCAAAGCACCTTTTCTGCAATACATGTGGAGTGCAAAGCTTCTACAGACCTCGTTCTAATCCAGATGGCTATGGTGTCATGCCACACTGTTTGGATGTAGGAACAGTGAAAGATATAAAAGTCGAGTTTTGTGATGGCCAAAACTGGGAAAAATTCATTGCCAACAATCCTGAAATCCAAGAACGGTCAAAGAAAAAGGACTAAAAGACAGCAAAAATTAGGAACTAGGAGACTATCTAAATGTTATTTATCTCACTGGAAATTTGTAGGAAAAATTCACCAATAATATTATTGCAATAGATCTACAAATTATTGTTTATAGAAGAACTTGTTCCTCTCTTGCTTGTTAAGTCTGGTCTTTATGTTGGGTGGAGATTTACCCTTTTTAAGATATGCACATGTTAAGGATAATAGATTCAAATCTCCAGTAATTGCAACCTCTCTACAACAACCACCTCCCCGCAGCATTTTCAGGTCCATTTATACTGCTGCAGTAAGCGGCATAAATTGTCTACGATTCTTATGGGGAATGTTGCGAACCTTTCTTTTTGTCATGTAAACATTTTTATTCAAAACATTGTTCAAGTTTTTTTGTGTATTTTATCTCTACATGGTGTCCCAAAAGTTTGTTCCTCTAAATTCATGCACCACAACTTTTGATCAAAACTTTATTTTTACATGAAATTGCTAGAAGATGTCTATTTTTCTATTGACTAAATGTATTCCGAATTTCAGTAACTGGCATGCCCTATTTGTTTTGTTTTGTTATCACATTCTGTAGTCATGGTGGCATGAAGTGGGATACAGCTTGCAAACCCACAGATTGTGCCTTTTACATGTAAAAAAAATAAAAAATAAAATTTATAAATTAATTAAAAATTAAAGTCAAACCTTGCTCTACCGACACCTGTTTAATATGAACACCCATATACATATAATAATTACAGTAAAATGCCGCAAAGAAGAACCTAGGATTTAAGAACCTGCTGGCAGAAATTTGTCATTTTAATACTCCAAATATAAGAGCCAGTTTAGCCAAGAAAAATCAAAAGGTTCTTATGTGTGGGTTTAGACTACATTTTCATAAACATTTTGATATATATAATAAATGTATAATGTCTACAACCATTGCTGAAAACAGCGTATCTCCTAGCTGTTAACCTAGTTTTGTTAGATTTTTGGTAAATAAATATTAAACTATTATGAAGGACAAATACCATTTATGCAGCAGATTCTTGTAATCAACAACAGTATCCTTCTTCATAAAAATTAAGAACCTAATTATAAAGAAACTATTTAGCCTAAACTTCCAATAAGTACTCCAAATTATAAGAATCTATTTTGCCAAACTTCAAAAAATCTAGGTTCCTCTTAGCCTGCGCGCAGACGAAATTAAACTCTGGTTAACTCCGTCTGCGAAACAGCGCCGAAATCCTTGTTCTGGACTTTCAGCTGTGTACCCAGATTTGAGTACGCGCCACGATTGGCCAGTTAAAAAAGGCTTTGTTTTGTTTGTCGTGATCGCCAATCAGGTTGAAGGGGAATTCGAAACGCACTTCCGGTAATTCGTTGAGTCCGTTGGGGGCCCAGAACAAGGATCTCTGCGCTGCTTCGCAGACGGTACTAATCAGAGTTTAGTTATCGTCTGCACGCAGGCTAGGTTCCTCTTTGTGGCATTTTACTGTATATGGATGTTGGGCTGTATATGCGGTATAACCCACTAATGGACACTGGTTAATACAGACAAGGGACATTTTTCTTTGTCCCAAGTCACATCTCTAATATATTGTCAACCCCATTGTACCGACACGAGATGTCACCGCACTGATTATTTCTTTGATACACTCACCAATAAATTATGGGTTGATTTCAGAAATTGTACTCTCAACTCTTAAAGTAATAAAAATATTGTTTTACTGGAAAATATATCACTCGTAAAATTCATAAAAACTACATCCGCGACCCGAGTGGTTTATTTTCCATAATCTCACACGTGAGTTTATGGATGACGTAATTTCGGTAATTTCCCTCTATTATTTATTGATGTCTTTTTGTCTGTATACTAAAAGAACATTACACGGTGGCTTGAAGATATGAATTTTGTTTTGCCACTCGAAAATAAAATTCATATCTTCGCGCCACTGTGCAATATCCTCTATATATTTCTGTGGGTTAAAATGTTTTTATTACTACACTACAGTAGCAAAATAGTGTTACATAAAAGAAAAACCCACATGCAAGAACCTACATTTTTTAAGTCTGGTAAAAAAGGTTCTTGTATTTTGGGGTTGTTATCAGCAATTTAGGCTAAATGGGTTCTTAATTAGTTAAGTTTTTGATCTGTGTGAAGGAAATGTAGTTGTTGACCACCAGAAAAATAGATAAACTTGGGTATTAAAAGAAAACGCGGACTTATTGGCTGCACCAGTGGCAGACATCCTTTTTGGAAATAAACATTATTTATTCACACCTGAACCCATATTTGATCCAATTCTCTCCAAAGTCGGGGAAGAGTTTGTTGTTGAGTATAAGAATACTGACGGCAACGGTTCTACAGTGCGCGTGGTGCTCTTTGACTTTAGGAAAGCATTCGATCTCATCGACCACGCCATTCTTATGGCTAAACTTACTGACTATGAGCTACCACCTTGGGTGCTGGACTGGATTGCAGATTTTCTTACTGACAGGAAGCAACGAGTGAAACTCGCCCACGATTGCTACTCGGATTGGGGATCTGTCAGGGCAGGTGTCCCGCAGGGAACCAAATTGGGGCCCTGGCTCTTCCTGGTAATGATAAATGACATCAATGTCAATGGCGTCAACCTTTGGAAGTACGTCGATGACACATCGATGGCCGAGACAGTCCACAAGGGCCAACCAAGTGGAATCCAATTTGCTGTAGACGACCTAGTTAGGCAAGCCGAAATAGATAAGTTCCAATTGAATGAGACCAAGTGTAAAGAGTTGCAGATAAGTCTCTCAAGGTCTGTAGATCCTTTCGAAGCAGTTACTATTAACAACAAACCAATTGAGGTTGTAACTAGCGCAAAACTTCTTGGTCTCACAATTTCAAACAATCTAAAGTGGAACGCTCACATAGAGAATGTTATCAAAAAGGAGCCTCTAGGCTATATCTATTAAGGCAGCTTAAGCGTGCAAAGGAGATCCTGCGCAGCTACTTTGTTTCTATACTACGTGTATCCGGCCCATGTCTGAATATGCCTGCCAAGTTTTCCACAATGGTCTGCCTGAGTATCTCTCTGAAGAGCTAGAGAAAATTCAGCGCCGTGCACTTAGAATTATTTTCCCAGATTTAGGCTATCAAGAGGCTCTCAAAGAGTGCAATATTTCCACCCTCCATCAACGGCGCCAATGGCTGACAGAGCGCCTATTCAATGAGATTAAGGACAACAGCCTCCACAAATTACATGGCCTTTTACCCGCCACGTAATCTTAGTACTGTAGCCTTAAGGAGAAAGCGCGCTTTTAACGTACCTCTTTGTAGAACAAAGAGACTAATGAATAGTTTTATCATGCATAACGCGGCTATTTTCTAATGGTTTTATTGTAAATTCGCGGCTATTTTCTTAAATTTCATGACGTAGTATCTTTGTTCCTTTGTTTTATTTATTTACTGTTATTGATTTATAATAGTTAGTCTTAGTATTCAACGTATTGTACAAAACTGGTTATATAATGTATCATGTAGTGACATTATCTTTATAGCAAATTAGTTAATAAATTATTTAAGTTAACAAATTAAGAATTTTCTTGTATTATAAATTTGCAATCTAAAAGTCAAACCCCTTGGCTAAAATGTTTATCTTTATTTATAAAATAACTAAGATAGTACATGCGTTCTGATTGGTTAAAAACCTATGGTTTATTGTGCCAATAAACTCATAGAAAACTTTAAAGTTATTTTATAAAAGCAACAGACCACACTTTCTATGGGTTTACCAATGTGATAACCCACTTGGGATGTTGGGAGAACACTCGAAAAGCTTTTCTCATGTTCTCCAAACATCCCGCATGGGTTATCGTGCCGGTAAACCCATAGAAAGTGTGGTGTATTGCTTAAATAAAGTTAAAAATACAAAATCTTACATTATTAATAATAAGAGTTACAATGAGTCATGATGTACGTATTAAGATAATCTTTCCCATGAAAATTTTATGAAGTTTTAAAAACATTTAAACTAGGCAGCTTTCTAATCTCTGGGGGAATCTTGTTCCACAGAACAGAACCTCTGTAGTGTAGGCTCCCTTTTGCAGACTCAGTTCTGGGTCTGGGGACATAATAATTTAACTCAGAATTTCTAAGATTGTGTGAGTGTACATTTAAGGTGTTGGTAAAGATCCGCATCAGATACGACAGGGAAAGATTATTATGGATTTTATACATTGTCACGGCCAACTGTCTTACACATGGTCTTACATATTCTAACCTTTTCCAGCGAAACTGATCCAACAAAACACTTGAGCGAACCTCATAGTTAGAAAGGGTGAGAATTCTAGGAGCCTTATTCTGCATCTTTTGAAGTTTGCCTGCTAGGGATTTATGTTTAATTACTCTTTCTAAGGTTGTATTATTGACTTTGACTGTGAAGTCATTATTTATTTGGGATAACTTAAATTGGCTCCCTATTAAAGTGTGTATTTAGTCTTCTTAACATTCAAAGTTAATTTGTTTGCTGACAGCCATGACTGAATTAAATTCATATCATAATTCATTTTATGTTCAAGGACACGCTTGAGGACTAAAGACATTGATCGCATGCATCAAGGACAATTTTTCACGCCTGAGTCACAAATCCGGACAATTTGTTCTTTGACACATGATTGATAACAAAATTAAATTTAATATTCCCGAAAATATTCCAAAAAGCTGTTCAATTTTATCACAAGACACTAAAATGTGCACAATTAGGTTGTCGGAGCATCTTTGGACATTTTCGGCAACGTTTGGAAATCTGCCGAAAATCGTCGGAAATGTTCAGAAATTCCGGTAATGACAAGACAAAAACCTCACGCATATGACTCAGAAAAAGTTGGCAGGTATAACCTGGTTCTTATATTTAGGGGTAATAAAATGGTAAATTTCTGCTAGCAGGTTCTTAAACCACTAGGTTCTTACACAAAGTTTTTTTAAACTGTATTCTTGATCAGTCCATATCCTTCTTCCCATGTTTTACTCTTGTCTGTATAGTCATCATTTTAGTCTGATACTACAATGTAAATGATCGCAAGGTTTCTTTAGCATGAGCCTTTTTCAGTTACTCTTTTGGATCAATTTAGGTTTCTGGGAAACTGCCCACCTACCCCTCCCCTAAGTCAACATTAGCCTGCAAAGCAGGCGTATTTTGCTGGTCAGTCGATTTGGACTTTCGACTGACTGAGAGTTGGGGCAAGTCCTCCATGTACCTTTGGGTCGTGCTTTATAAAAAAAAAACACTATTAACACTTACTTCTCGCTAAGGGCAAAATGTTGGGTTAGTCGAGGGGAAGATGGGCAGTTTCCCAGAAACCTAAATTGATCCACTCTTAATTACGTAAAAACATCTGCTTACAAAAATAAAGTCTACATGTGTCCATGACATTTTTTCCCGAGAGGCCACTTAATACAAACACCATGACATGTCCTCTTGGTTTCTGTATTAACCAGGTTACATTGTACAACTAAAAGGTCAATGACACTATTTGTGGTAAATATTGCAAGTTAATAAGCTAAAGTGGCTCATTTTGCCTCCAGCGATATCAGCACTATTAGCCTGTGTCACAGACAGGACTAAGCATCTGATAAGTCTGTCCGCAAAACAGCACCAAAATCCTTGCTCTGATCCCCCACCTGTGTACCAGGATTTGAGAACACAACATGGATGGCCTGTTACAGTCAAACTAGGAAAACCATGAACCCCAGAAATACTTTTGGAGTGTTATTATCTTGCAAGAGAGAAGCCAATGAGGTGTGAGAAAAATAAACCACAAGCAAGAACGTTAATTAGTTTGTGGTTTTGTGCCCAGTTCACGTGTCTTGATCTTTGCTGTGATAGTCATAACACAATAAACATTCTCAAGATATTTCAAGTGTTCACAGTTTCCTGGTCTCACTGTAACAAAGACATTGTCAACTTGCCAGTCAGGTTGAAAGGAAATTTGAAATGCATTTACGGTAATCGTTGGCTGTATGGTATTATGGACTTAGAACAAGTATATGGGTGCTGCTTCGCAGACAAGTCATTACTAACTGGGGTTAGATTATGTCTGTGGTATAGTGTCCCTACAGCAATATCAGTCTAAGAGGTGTTTTCTGTGCAGTCAGCAGCTTTAGGATTCTCCTTCAGATACTGCTGCCACTTTTCCCAGTTTTTGGCATCACAAGGGATAATATCCATTTTGGTCACAGTTCCTTCATCTAAACAATATGGTGAAATGCCACATGCATCTGGGGAGGTGCGAGGAGTGTAGAAAGAATGGATCCCACACGTTTTGCAAAAAAAGTGTTTAGCTTGGTGAGTGTTGTATGTGTAACAAGAGAGATTGTCCTCACCCTAAAAAAAAGAAAGTAAAAGAGAAGCTTTTCTTCGATCAGTTAACAAATCTGTCTTCTTCCCTCCCTAATTAAAAAATTTTGAGAGATGTTAAAGGGTAGTACCTTTATTTTTATATTAATTCTAAATCCAATCTTTCATAAATTACTAATTAGTATTACTAATTAGGTTAATACAGATCAAACATGAAGTTATGCAAAGCTAGAATAATTTGAGCATCCAAAATTAAAGCTTGTACCCCCACCCCTCCATTCCACTCGTTAAAGGTATAACATGTGGAAGACGCGCTCTGAACTACCGTATTTATTCGATTAACCGCCCTGGGCGCTTATTAAATTTTTGGACCTTGAGAGTGGGCGCTTATTCGAGGTGGGCGCTTATTCGAGGCTGGGCGCTTATTAAATTTTCAACATTTTCAGCAAGTGTAGTATGTGTATTTTGCAACAAAACAATAAATGGTAATAACAAAACGCGAAGACGTAACAAAGCAAGGTTCCTGTAAAATACTTTGAAGAAAACTCCGTCTTCGGGAAAGTCTCTTATTAGTAATTATTCAGTTTTAGGGGTGGTCGCTAATTTGAGTTTGAGTGGGAGTGGAAGGAAGGTGTGGTGGGGTGGGCGCTTATTCGAGGCTGGGCGCTTATTAACTTTTTCTGCCTTTAGGATGGGCGGTTATTAGAGGTGGGTGCTAATTCGAGGTTGGGCGCTTATTCGAATAAATACGGTATGTGTATTTGATTCACACGATGAAATTGTTGAAATTGTGGATAATTCTGGAAATTAACAGAGAATATATTTTTAATGATTCGTGGCCTAGTTGGAGACTGGGCTTGG